TTTTCAATTGTTTTATCCTTTTATCTTTCTTATGTTCTTTATCTTTTTATCTTTTTTTTTTTTTATCTATATATCATTATCCTATCTTTTATTTATCCTATCCTGTCTTTTTATCTCATTTTTTATCATTTTTATTTTTAGCTCTGATTTCACATGTCTATTCATATTTGTCAATCCCAAACTCGTCTGGGACTAAGGCATGGATGTTGTTGTTGTTGATCATTGGTAAAGTAAGTATCTTCTGTATTTGAATTCAGTACTGCTACTACTGGTGGGACCAAAAGAAGAGGCGGAGCAGGTGGGTTGAACAAAGTCTGCAGTGTAACACCAGAACTTGAGGCTGTTGTTGGCCATCCGGCACTCCCTAGAACTGAGGTTAGGTCCCCATTTGAAGGTAAACTTTGATCAGAGTAACAAGTACTAATGTGTCCTTTTCCATACCAGATTGTGAAGCAGCTGTGGGCATACATCAGGAAGCATAACCTACAGGATCCTGGGAATAAGAGAAAGATCATCTGTAATGACACCCTTCGTTTAGTCTTTGAAACAGACAGCACTGACATGTTCAAGATGAATAAGCTTCTCTCAAAGCATATTCTCCCACATGATCCTACAAGTATACTATCTATCTACAAAACTTGTGCTTAGACTTCGTTTGTCTACAAGAAATATTTTACGGGAAAATGTTATTCTGGTTTTGATGTGTCATGCACTAGGAAGATATTTTCAAAAACAAGTTTCTTTTGTTTAACGCAGGAGGAATATGTTTTACTTTCTGGGTCCAGGAAAATGCTAGGGGAACAGAAAAATATGACAAGGAAATTTATTTTCGTATGTTCCACAGTTTGGAATTGACAATTCTTTTAAAATTTTATCAACATTTAGATTTCTATCTGTATATCATTGAAATATAAATAAATGAAATGAATTTTAACAGAATTAAAATAAACTTGTTCAATTTGTGTATCTCCTCTCTTTTCCCAACAATTTCTTCGTTAAATTTCCCTTATATTTTTTTCCATAGCATTTTCCGAGATCGCTGTGAACCTTTACCTTTATGTGTAAAGCACTTTTCATTTTGAAAACAGGCAATTATATTTCTGAAACAGTTCTGTACTCTCTGGGTCAAAACATTAGATATGTGTAGAACGGCATCCTTTCCTGGAAAACATCTTGCACCAAAAAATACTTTACTAGAAAACATTTTTGCAAAAAACTGTTTTACTGGAAACAAATGTGACTTAAGTTTTACATTAGATTGTGTATAATGGCTTCCTTTCCTGGAATCATCTTCCACCAAAATTACTTTACTGAAATGTGATCTAAGTTTTACCAACCTGTTCCCAGCTCATGATTAAGACACTACGAAAATGAAATAACTAAATAAATGCAGAGCATACTAATAATTAGATAATAAGAACACTTATGCCGTAGTAGATTACCTTCCAAACATGTAGAGATGTGTGGCAGTAGTGTAATATCATGGCTAAATGGCTTTTTTCTTGTTCATTGTATGTAAATATTAGGACAACCTGAACAAGCTAAAAGATTGAAGGTTGAAACAACTTCGAAACCAGACAATGAAGACTCTAGCTCACAATCTGTAATGATATCAGACGCACTTGCCAAGTTTTTGGGATCTTCAGAAAGAGAGATGCTTCAATCAGAAGCACTCCAACGTGTTTTGGACTATGTAAAGGTTAACCGTCAGGAGGTATGCATTGCAATTTTAAATCTCACTCTCCTGGTTGTATAATTAAATTCCGTGCTTAATTTTTATTTACATGAATCTCATTGCATTTATTTAAAGAATTTACGGCATGTCTGCACTCGACTAGACAGAAAAAAAAAGATAGACACAAAGACCCTTGTCGTATTAAAGACCCTTGTAGTATTAAAGATAGACACTTTAACCCCTATGATTTTAAAACATACGTTAATTTTTCCACACCTTTCAATTGTATTAATGCATTTACACATCCCTAGAAACTGGGAAGTGTATCATTGATCACCCATAAAGGGAGCTCAACACCTATTCTTAATACTGCAGGGGTCATCATGATAATTCAGCTATATCTCGAGTCAGGTCACAAATAATAATAACATGATGAATAAACCTAGGAAATTAGGCTTTCATGCACTCTCCCTTCTTTCACATCCATATCACAAGTTATTTGAATCTATGTTAGTCCTTAAGCAATATCTTTATTTGCCATTTTTTGTTTGTTTTGCTTGTCTGGTCCATAGAACTCTCCAGATTCTGAAGTGATTGAGTGTGATGCTAAGCTTCAGGAGCTGTTTGGATGCAAAAGCATTACTACCATGGAAATACCTGAGAAGTTGGTGCGCTATCATCTGTTCCAGCAGCGGTGATCTCTGTTGTAGACAATGGTAAACAAGTAAGCTGTAAGGTTCTTACGGAGGTTTAGATTTCTTTTTCTTTACATAATAGGAAATAACAATTCAAAAGGCTTTGATCACATATCCCTAAAAAAATTAAGCTTTAACCAATGCTTTATATACACCTAAATTTTACCCTATATTTTATTTTCCTAGCATTTTCTGAGTTCCAAACAGATGCATCCTTATTATTATGGATAGTCTTAATGCACTTTTTTAATGCATGATGCATCCTTATTATTAAGGATAGCCTTGGTTTAGAACCTTTTCATTTGGACTGGAATTTCAGATTTGAAGTGATGTGGTTGGTCTAGTCTATTTAACTCTGGCATGGTGTAATTCTATGTGTATTGCCTAGTTAGTTAAATACGGTACGGGAATTAAACGAGGTTTAATACATACACGTTTTATTCGGTAACATGAATGAAAAAAACGGTAAAAAATTCGTTGAAAAAACGTTGACTTTTAAAAAACGTGTAAATACGTATACGTGTATAATACGTTGTCTATTACAAAAATTTGGACGAAAAATACGGGTATTATTTTGAACATTTAAATGATATATTTCATAAAATAACATATATAGTAAAAAAGAAATAAAAGTATACACATATTCAAGTAGCAAATCTCATTACTACATACAAGAATTGTTCGTAATTGCATAAGTCGATGACAAAAATAAAAACAGTAATTAAGTCCAAGACATAATTTTGAAAAATAATGTCAAAAAATCATTATCTTTATATGATTATCAAATAACACTCAAGTTAAACTCATCATTTTCATTAAGATGACAGATGACATATGACAAAAGTTGTGTGATTGCTACATTTATTATTGTTTGTGTAAAAGTTTATGCTAAAAAAACGGCAGGTTTAAAAAAATCTTAATTTTGATATGCTAGCTTGAAAAAACATCAGAAATCTTGTAGTATATTACTGCGTAAGTTTTAGTATTTCAGGATGCTAGCTTTAGCCATCATGCAATTGATTTTAGTATTTAATAATTGCACTGAAACAATACAAAAACACGAGATCATGGGGAGGACGTTTTCATTTTTACTTTTACACTATTGTTGATCTTCTATGCATTTAGTGCATTCATTCAATTGGTCAATTCATGTTTATGTTTTTTGTAAAATACGGGGAAAATACGTTTTATACGGGAAGTAGGAGTTTTTTCCCTTTTTAAACGGACCGACATTTCCCCCCTTTTTAAACGTGTTTTTTGGTCAAAAAACGGTACGTGTTTAAAACGCGTTTAAAACGGAAAAAAGCTAACTAGGGTGTATTGTATTGAGATTTGATGGATGTCATGTTTGGTTTGGTTTGGTTTGGTTTGGTTTGTTTAATTTGGTTTGTTTAGGTCTGGTCTGAAGTCTGAAATAGTGTGGTTTGGTCTAAGTCCAAGTGAACAGCAGAATAGGTATTTAGGAGTGAAGTGCCAGCTGTTACTTTCATAAATCAACCTTTAGAAAACAACAGTATAAGATTCTTACACCATCACAGTTTTTCATATGTATATCTTTTTGTCATAAAAAACCTTTTAGTTGGTGCTGTATGAACTAATCTTTATATTTAAACAAAAATGATATTGCCAATGAATTTTATTTAGAAACTTGATTGCAGCTTAACACACTCATCATCATCAGCATAATCACCATTACCCCAGTGCCGCAAAGGCTCCCACCTACGGTGGGATAAGGGGGGGTCGGATGAGTGGCGTAACATTCATCATCATCATCATAATCATCATCATTGAAGCGTAACACTCATCAATCAAATTTTCTTTTTTTTCTTTGCTTTGCAGATCGCTCGAAATTGGGGCTGTAGCTGTGTAGTTGATAAGTAAGTATATGACTAATGATCTGAAGCTGTATGGTAATGTATTTGCTTTTAGATATGTCTAGCGTAATTATGTTGCCAGTCTGTAGATGTAAAATGTGTATCATCTATGTAGAAGGATCTGCTAACAGAATTTGTAGTTTCTCTGAAAACCTTTTCAATTGACTTGTGTAATGTCTTGTAAAAAAGTAGGTTCTTTCTTTATTTCTTTCTTATTTTTACTTTTTACTGACGTCTTTTTTTTTTCTTTGAAATGCTATTTTTCTATTCAAACTTTGCATTTTCTTTTAATTTTAAGGTTGAAGATTTTTTATTTATTCTACCTGGTGAGTCATGCCATTTCTTTTTACTCCTTTATCTTCCCCGTTAAAGAATCTCTTGCATCTCACAAAACACTAGTCTAGCTTTTCCAGCATCGACGTTCTACATACATAGTACGTAGTATAATTTATTATTGGCAACTATAATTTCTGGCAAAACTCACCATTGATTAAATTTATGCACTGCATTAAGATTCAGGAAAACTGATTTGGTAAAGCTTTGAGCTATGTCTGTGTTTAAACAGAAGTCGATTGAGAATGACTCAATGACCTATACAAGTCTTTCTTTTATTCCCTTCAACTTGTGTATCTTGAAGATGTTGATGTATCTTTCAGTGCAAGGACACACTCTTACTACCCAGTGGTAAATTGCCAAGCTCTGACCAAAACTTTCTGGAATTTGCATTTTTATTTTCCAAGCCTTCTTCTATTTCTTAAGGTACATCTAGTGTTCACAAGCAACAATATGAACACTATCACAAGTAATACAGCACATAGTGTTCTCATGATCCTCTTCTCTCTTATACTTCCCAAATTGACTTGATAATCCATCTTCTCCTTTGCATTCATCAAAAGAGACATCATTTTCTGCACAAAACCACTTCTGAGGTCAAATGTCGGAGTATGCTAAATATTTAATAACTGCTTACCAATCTAAGCGGCTCAATTTGAAAGAGTGGCTCCATAAACATCTCCACATTCCTGAAGTACATATATATATATTTTAGTAGTAGCATTCATAATCATAAAACTTATGAGACCGTCAGTTGGATCGGTATAGGGAGAGGTCAGAGGTGTTTATACCTTATCATTACCTTCCCTTGATAGACATGGCACATGTGGAAGCTAAAACCTTTTCCCAGAGGAGCATGACTCTTTCTACACTCTGGAACATAAGAATATAAAATGCCCTTTTGTTCATGTAGTGTCACATAACTTATGCAAGATGACATGAATATGAAATTTACCTTAAGCTGTTTGGTTCGCGGAATGTGACAAACATGGAAAAGTCTAAAATATTACCAGGTTAACCTCACACTATCTAAGATGACTGATGTTACCATATCTAGGTACTGTCACATTCTGCGAACCAAACACTCCCTTCACATAAACAAGATTGGCTACCTAGTTTCCATGAAATCCCAACATCCATTCCATCATGCAGTGAGGGCTGAACAACAAACTCAATGTTGCTCCCTAAGGATTTAATCAGCGAAGAGAAGAAATCGACTACTTTCTGCAAAAACTGAGTAGATGTCAAACAAATTTCTGAAGAAATGTTTTCTGCTTTCGGTCAAATGCCATTCCCAAAATTTGTCCCCAAATATCACCTATTCCACTTTCAATGCATGGTTAGAAACTCAAAAGGTGAAAATGGCCAAAAAACACTATCAGTATTAAGGCAAACATGGTCCATAATTTGTACTTTTGATTCCACAATGATTCGTCAATTCCCAGTTTTCACATCTGATCACTAGTAATTCATTAAATCAAAAGGACTGAAAGGAAATGCAGTATTTGACTGCTTGATGTCTTGATGTATAAATTGAATAATCAGTGAATTTTTAAAGAATTCTTTTTCCAGTTTTCGTCTGAGGACTATTAGACATTTAGACAAATTTAGTTTTTATGAAAAAGTTTCAATCTTTTTACTGTAGGTGCACAGTTATGATTTTTGTACCATGTTTGGCCCTTTCAGCCACTTATCTTTGAAAATGAAAATTGCATAAATTTGTGGTTAACTTCTTTCAAAAACTGACCAAAGAGGACTTATAAGTTAAAGGGATAAGAAGTGTATCTTCGTGCACCATAATTGGGAAAAAATAATTGACTCTGAAAAACAATCACTGCAAACCTTTCAGTTCTAAAACACAATCACATTGTATAAAGCAAGCTGAAAGACCTTCTCTGGATAAGCAATACCCTTACCTTCTTACCATGGAATGGTCTCAAGGTGTGAACGAAATTGCTAACGCACCGACATTCCTCTCCAATTATATCGGAAAGTTGATGCAAGTTTTTCTGTCTGATTGCAATGTAAAGTTTCAGGACAGCTTCCACTGCCCTCTGATCATTCTCTAAACTTTCATGAGAATTGCTGCACGCTACTGGCAATAGCCGCTTGTTTGTATGAATAGAAAGAGCTATATCAGGTTTAGATCCAATGGATTTATAAGAACCTTTTTTGAGTGGAACTATAAATGGCTTTTGCTCTTGGGATGGAAAAGCAGACCAACTGGAGATGGTGGCCATTTTAGTGCGAGGAGGAAATGGTAAAGAAACCAAATCCATAAGAAATGACAAATAGATTAAAGAAGTGAAACTCATAAGCAAATGTATATACTTTGTGCTAATAGGAGAAGATTGTACGGAAGTATTGTCTATGGAGAGATTCCTTTGAGCAAAAGGGTAAAGGAAAACATTGCTGCACTTGCAAGTTTGGAATATTTATTAGGGGTTTGAACATGCATATATACCAGGACTTCTGATTTGGTTTTTTCAAAGGGGATGAGTAGTAGTTTAAGGCGATGACAATGGTGCAAGGAATTATATAACAATGCACCCATATTAGATAGTTGAATATAACAGTAACATAACATACTAGCAAAAGATTAACAATAGTGCATTAATAAAGCTATCACAATGCAAGTACGAAGTATATAGAAGTCAAGATTACTCTTCCAATAAAGAAAAAGAAAAAGAATGAATCTCGTAGCACTTTTCAAAAAGAACAGAAATGATTATTTTTAATTTCAAGAGTCAAGACACTAACGTTAATGTTTTTTTTCCTTTGTTTTTTTTACCCCAGAGAGCGTCAGGAGGAGGGGGATTGGGGGCTTGTGGTAAATTGGATCAATCTCTCACTCCATTTATTATTGTTAAAAAAATCATTATGAAATGGGATATTCTTATCATAGCAATCAAGTAGTGGAAATCAGAGTTATCATATTACTTTTTTCATCTATTAATTTATCATTTAACCATTTTTCAATCGAGTTTTATATAATACGTACTTGTATTTTTTTATAACTTGAGAAACTTATTTTTGTTGGAAAATGAAAAAGAATAATTATATTTAAATATTTACTAACAACTATAGGAAATTTACAATAAATCTTTTCACGATTTGCATTTTGCTTAAACCTAGGCACCTTGGGGCATGCGTTTTGTTATATAATTATAATTTTATACATAATACAATATACGGAGTATATACTACTCCCTCCATCCCACAATTAAAGTTCCAAAAAAAAGTTCCAGTTTGACTTTGCGGTCTACTAGGCGGATTTTTGACTATAATTATCTATAAATATTTATCTATATAATCTATAATAAATTGACATTAGAATAATACATATTACAAATTTACAATGAAGCACATCAAATAAATATTTGGGATTAAATATTATTAATTTTGAGTAATTAACGATCAAAGTTTAACAAGTTTGACTCAAAAGCCACTTTTTCTCCCTAGGGTTGCCGACGGCCGCCTAGGGTAGTCTTTTGTTTTCCGGCGGTGCCTTCCAAGGTACGGTGTCCGGCGTTTTTTTTTCCGGCGGTGCCTTCCAAGGTACGGCGTCCGGGGCATTCTTTCTATGGTGCAGCAGGCTCCTTTGATGCGACTCTCGGCCGCAGGGCTTGGTCATCTCCTAGGGTCGAGAAAGAGGGGTGAGAAAAGACGGCCGTCTCCTAGGATTTTCCTAGTCTGATTTTCCGGCGACGTCCTTTTGTGGCGTTTGGGTCCAGCGCTTTCCCTCTCTATAGGGCTTGGACATCGAGATCGAAGGAGGACGATTGCAGATGAAGATGGCTGGTATTGGTAAGCAGGGGATTGACGATCAATGTGTCGCGGATGAGGAGAACCGAGGAGTGCAGGGTACGGACAATGTGGAGAAACTGATTGGTCTCCCCCTGATTGGTGCATCAACGATTGTTGCGAGGGTCAGGCCTCCCCCAGAACAACCGCCAAGGGTTGATCGACGCGTTTTGGAGTTTGCTTATGATTTACCTTTTCTGCATTTTAATTTCCAAGTTAAGACGTTTGTGTTTTGTTGTTATTTTATTTTATGCTGTAAGACTCTTGCATTAGGTTTGGGGGATGGAAAGTCTGTGGTAACCGTCATTGGCTTTAAGTTGCCCAATTTTGGTCTAGCGAGTTATACTGCTTTTTTACAGGTGGTTAACTCTCAGTCTCGGCCACGGGCGGATGGTTACATGTGGTTCTTTTCTGCTTTTGTACCATTACTGAATGTTATTTCTATGAATTAAGCCTTCTTCGAGCAAAAAAAAAGTTTGACTCAAAAGCCAAATTGGGATTTTAATTAAGGGACGGATGTAGTATTTTGACTATTTTCAGTTATTGATAAATATTGAACCGAGACCTGGACCAGACTTCTTAAGTATAATACTCCTTCTGTCTCGTTAGAAGGTTCCCACTTTCCTTTTTGGACGTCCCATTAGAAGGTTCTCATTTCTATTTTAGGAAACAATTAACAATCTTAAGTGAAAACTTAATCATTAAATGTTAAAAGTAATACATTTATAACATCACAGTTATCAATACTAACTACATTATAATGTATATCTATTAAAATTATTTCTCAAAATATACTCGAAGTAGTTTATTTAATTATCATCTAAATAACCGTGTCATTTTCTATGGGAACCTTCCAACAGGACGAAGATAGTACTATTTATACACACTTGTTACGATCCACATATCTGTAACAACTAACAAGTATGGGTTTGAACTTGTTTCGGTCTGATTCTTGATTTGGATCGTCAATATCCAATTTCATAGCCGGGTGAAAAATTGATCAGTTCTCAAACCATTTACACCTCTATCCTCCAGAGGAGATTTAAGTGGAAGATGTGTTTATATGTATCTTAGAGCAAGAACCAATTCAAGTCGGTAAACCCAGGGAAAGTGGCAAATATGGTAATAAATGTAATGTATGGGGTGAGGCCGGAGAGCCCTAGAAAGGAGAATATATTGCTCAGTCACAGAGATGGATGAAAAGATGAACATTTTCAAATTTGGTGATGCACATTATCACAAGTCCATGAATCTTGATACTTGACCAGAAAACGTATAATATATAATGCCTTATGGAAACTATTTCACTATCACCTCTACATATATTTGACTTGCTGAAATGAAAATATAATTTAAGCATGCATTGCATGTAGTTCAAAAATACAGAGAGGCTGAAGAATATGAGCGGGTTGGGTGGCGATTTGAGGTGATGGTGTTTCCCCATTAGCCTTCTTGTTTGGATTGATTTCAACATTAGAAAAGTGCCTACTTGTGAGCTGACCCTTGTGCATTTCTCTCTCGGGCTATTGAAGTTTGTTTATCCTGACTACCAAATGCAGCAGGCGACTCTTTTTTTGATTCAACCACTATTCCTTTGACTGCCTCCTCCAACTTCTCCAGCCTCGCTTTCAACTCCAACAGCTTTGGATCGGATGTTTCTTCTTTCTCCATGTCTGACCCCACTTCTTCCATTTCTCTTGCTTTTGCTTCTTCTTCAGCTTTCTTTTTCAACTCCACTTCCTGAGACGAAAATTTGAAAATTGTTGTTGTTCTTGCTATTATTATTACATTATTATAATCATCATTATTAAAATCCACAACAGAATAACAGATAAGGGGTAAAAGTGGTCATTCATAATAATCTACTCCCTCCGGTTATAAATAAACTTCACACTTTGACTTTACAGCTTTTAAGAAAGTGGGATTTTTGCTTTTGACTTTCCCATCATATCCCTACAAAAAGTAGATAAAGTGTAGTTGGAGAGAGAAAATGGGTGCAAAGTGTGTAAAAAAGTAAGGGTAACCTTATATTAAATAGAAGTTTATTTTGGACCTACCCAAAAAGGAAAGTGTGAAGTTTATTTATGACGGGAGGAAGTATAAAAGTTTCTACTTTGAATGTGATTGAGTTGATTAAAATGATGAGATGCACCTTACTCAATCAAGACCCTTTTATAATGGTATGATCAAAGTTACAAAGAATGGTATGATAAAAAAAAGTTACAAAGAATGGTGGAATGTGGTGCAACAAGAACAAGTGGGATAGATGTGAAGAAAAAAAGACAATGCAGGCGCTCTATTACCGCCTCCATTCTTCTGATATCATAGCGAGCATATTGGGCTACCAAATACACAGCTGTTACATGACATTTGACATTCAAATTATGTCAACAAAAAAATAACACTCTGAAACATATAGTAAAGCCAAGGATGTGTGATGAGAGAGGTACCCAGTGAAGGCAGGCAGGCAAAGAAGAGTTGTACCAGATGGAAATCGAGCCTGACCATCATAAAGGTAAATAAATAAAAATCACAACATAAAATCAATAAGTTCACTGGTCTGCAATAAAAAGAATAGAGTGAGGCTACGGTACCATACTCACACACCAGTAAGTAGAGTTAAGGAATATATATTTCCATGAAAGGGAAAGACTAATCATATACACATAGTTCCATACTTAAATGTAAAAGAATGCAGATAAAATGCACTCATAACCTGAGGCCACTCTTGTAGTAACCCATTGACCATATCCTGTCTTCCTCTTTCCTATTTGTGGCTCTAAGTTTTCATTCCTATGAAAGTAAGCTTTATCCTGCTCCTATTAAATGAAGAGAGAAATATACTAAATCAAACTACTAAAACAACTTGTACTGGATGTGTTCGGAATCTCCACTGCATGCTTGTATAACAGCTACATGATAATAAAGAAGAATTGTGAATTGCTAAACATTCAAACAAGTAAACAATAAATAGAATAGGAAAGTAAAGGTTTATTTTGTGATGTAACTCATGTCATGACATATATATGTAACTTGTGTTAAAGGAAATGTAACTTGTTTGAGACATGTCCAAATGTAACTCACTCATTAGAAGATGTAACTTGTGCACATTAAGATGTAAATGGAGTATAAAAAGATGTAACTCCATGTATTAAAAACACACACATGTATATACCTATATATACCAATTAACTTCATCATTAACATCAATTATATTAATTGAATTTGGTTAATACGCTGCTTAGATGGTAAATCAAAGCAAAAAGGTTATGCGCGAGGGGTTGAAACTTGAAAGAGCAGAGATTGAAGAGCCACCGTTCTGTAAAGACCAGATTCTGTCCACTAAAAACTGATCATTCCTTGTTCATGATCGCAAGTGATGAAACCACGCCACTTGTTCACAATCATGGGCCAAAGGCGATAATGGCCTGGTAAGTGTTTTAGCTTTTAAAGTTCTGTCATCACAGAGCGATAATCTGTTTGGATTTAAGACAGAAGTGCCTAGCAGAAGACCTCGGCCTCTGGTGGCATCAGAACACCTCGGTCTCTGATGGCCTCGATCAGAATGCCTCGGTCTCTGGTGCCTCTGGTGGCATCAGAACACCTCGGTCTCTGATGGCCTCGATCAGAATGCCTCGGTCTCTGGTGGCATCAGAACACCTCGGTCTCTGATGGCCTCGATCAGAATGCCTCGGTCTCTGGTGGCATCAGAACACGTCGGTCTCTGGTAGCAATAAATGCCCAAC